CCATTTTTTGGCAAATCTAGTGTGACCTTATCACACCTACTATTCACCCTGACCTCTCTTTAGATCGGCTAATCCTACTCGGGCCTCCTATCCGGATCTTCCTCATGGTCCCGTAGATCCTCCCCTCATCTTTCTGGTTGACTTGTTTTACTTGTTGCCATTCCCAGTGTCGTTTTACTTAGGGCGCTATTCCTCAATGCTATAGAAGCACTTACTGCTAACGTCTTTGCGTGATACCTGAAAATCCCCATCTCCCCTTTTTCTCATCGCGATCCATTTTCCTTCGGTTAGCCAAATATACTTGATCCAGGCGTCTCCTTTTGCTGATCTTGCTCGAGTAATGCAAAGAAACATACGGGCCATGAAAAGCCGATGAGTGAACGGGGACAGAGTAGGATTCATAAAAGTAAATAATCCTACCTTCCTGTGAACTAACTCAGAAACTACGGCGATTATTAAGTAAATGGAATATTCGGGTAGCCATTAAAGAAAAATCTACACCGTCTGCCGACGCAACATGAATGCGTAGACAAATTGGATTGTTTAGGAGTTTACTGTATATCATTCAGCACATCCAAACAGAAATATATTAGCGAAGCAGGGAGAAAAAATAGCATACGAATCAAGGAACATCAAAGGCTCTGCAGGAAAATTGATGCCAAAAGATGGGAATTAGCGGAACACATCGCATAGACTGGACACAAGATCAACTGAATGGCAACAGAAGGAAGGTTCTCATACGGTGAAAACACAAGAAAAGGGAAGATTAGGGAATCCATTGACATCGTTTAGGAGAAAAATCTAATGAACAGGAGATTGGAGGAAGGTAGAGTTAGCGATAATTTTGCCAACTGCCTAAGCAAGCTCGAGGAAAACAAAAATGGAGCAAGACCAGCAAAAAGGAGACGTTTGGATCAAGGATCTATCGCTAAAAGGGATCGCAATGAGAAGAAAAGGGAGGATGGGGATTTTCAGGAAACAATCACAGATGTTGTTAGTTCGTGATGTCCGTTTCGAATAAACCAGTACAACTTTTATGGTCGGGCAGTCAGGGAGCTAGGCGGAAGGATAAGTAAACCGTCACATAAATTCGACTTTATGACCAAAATAAACTAAAAATCCACTTGAGATGCCGCATACGACCAGAGATAGGCGTCCACAGTTTGCTCAGGTTACACAAGTTTAATCAAGGCCTGAAATCTGCAAACATGGGAATCACAGCTTAGGCGGTCTGCTCGGTGAGGCGGAGTTGTACGTGCTTCTTAACACTTTAGAAATAGGGCCTGGAGTAAAGCGCACACGGGGACTGGAGCCGATTGAAATTGGTTAACCAGAAAGATAGGAAACAGATCACCGGGACTATGAAGAGGATCCGGATCGGAGGCCCGAGTGGGATCAGTTGAGCAAAGGGGAGGGGGTCAAGGTGAACAGAGGTGAGATGAGGCGACACTAAATTTGCCGAAATGGGCACACATTTTGACGTGTGGAATGTAAACAAGTCAGCAATTGTGAAGAGTGGGTGTTGGATAAGAGGGTACAGAGTTGATAGATAGGCCAGGACAGAAAGAGGAGTTTTTGGTAGAACGTTTGTCGAGGGATTGACTTCACTTGTCTCTTTGACGAGTTCGTAGTTTGTGAGAAAAATGGCAAGACTCACTGATGATGTCGAGTACGATGCCGGCGAAACGTTTGAGAATGCACCAAGTTCACTCTCTGATGCTGGGAATCATGATAACTACTATGGCAGAGGACTTCGGACAAGGTGCGTTCTACTAACTTCCCCTGACAACAAGACCAAGTTGCGACGAGGTCAACAGCTCTTCTAATTACTTTACATCTGATTCCTTAATACACTTACTTTAAAGAAGCACCAAAATACTGCTTGGAGTAAAGCACACACTGGGACTAAAACCAAATGAAATTGGTGAAATATATGAAACGGATCCTTGGGACCATGATGGAGATCTGGACAGAAGTTCCGGGTTGGATTAGCCGAGCAAAGGAGAGGGGTTCAGGGTGAATTGCAGGTGTGATTAGGCAACGCAAAATTTGCCAAATGGGTCATGCATTTTGACGAGTGGAATGTAAACAAGTCAGAATTTGTATAAGCTGGGTGTCGGATAAGAGGGTACATAGTTGATAGATGGGCGAGTGATGGGAAAAGGAGTAGGTGTTACGATTTTCGGCAGAACGTTGATCGAGGGATTGACTTCACTTGTTCGTAGCTTTGTGCGAAGAATGGCAGCACTCACTGATGATGTCTGCGAAACGTCCGAGAATGTACCAAGTGCACGGTGTGATATTGGGACTCATGATAATTGCTATGGCAAAGGACTTCGGACAATGTGTGTTCTATTAACTCGCCCTGACAACAAGACCAAGTTGCTGCAACGAGGTCAACCCACTTCTAAACATTGAAAGGAGACTGCGACTATACCGGGGGTCACACCATCTTGGTCTTCATATCTTTGATTAACGGAATACCCTTTAAATTTTCATGGAAAATACAGTTTGTTTTTTATAAATGTTATTACTCTTTTCAACATGCTTCCATACATTACATCTTATTCTAAGCGTTGCCTAAATATCGCCTTAAATTCGGGTCCTCTATGATTTCATGTTCGAAATATTGCATCCAATTAAGCGGTTAGAAAGTCATGTGAAATTCGCTTTTGAGTCTAATAGTGGACTGTTTCCTAACGATGCCTAAATGTGTCTGATAACTGCTGGCTGAAAGCCTAAATTGTGTCTCCTTTTCATTTGTTGCCCCTAAACCTTTTTCGATGTGGGCTTCAAGACTATCAATTAATATTCTTCTAAACCTGCCTGACCTCTTATGATAACCCTTTTTTACCATTTTTGTCATAACCTCATATTATATCTGAAGATTTTATTTAAATATCTTATTTGTTTCTAGGCGAACGCGCCTCGGCTTCTACAAATTTCGGCCTCTGTCAGTCGAAATCCACTGGAGTTGCTTGTCTCTTCAGAAATTATGCATATTCCCATGATTTTTGATGATCTCATTTGTCCTATTGTGGTATAATATTTAATAGTCGAATGTTCTCCGAGTGTTACTGGCTTCTTTGTAATTTGATTATGTAAAATTTGCCTCTTTCCCCTCTTCCTGTTTCCTTCTTTCATTTATTTATCCTTTGTCTTCTTCAAGTAGTTCGCACCCTACCATTTGTGCAAATTTATTATCCGCTTAGTTTTTAATTTTTTTCTTAATACCTTTTTAGTTCACTTTTGGATGTCAAGCAATTGTCCACTTATAAAATATTGATACACTATTGGTAATTATCTTCAATAATAGCAAATAACAACGCGTAACTTCTTATTTTCCGAATTCGTTTTTGTACAATTTGTATTTTAAATAATTGACCTTTGATGCTTTAATTCGTGCTAGCAGGTAACTATTTCCTAACCCTCAGAAATAAATTATCACTATTTAACACGAATTCAATTCCTTTTGTATACTATAATGGAGATACTTTTCCCCAACCTGACGTTCTTTACGCTCCTCATCACGCAAGCTGAATCCAAGCTGCTCGGAGTTGCAAATGTAGCGTTTTTTATTATAAATAAT